TATTATCCGACGCAATGTGTTCTTTGGCCTTCCTCTTTTTCGCTTCCCTTCAGGATTCCAAGTTAGGGCTTGCCTCGTGATGCAGTTTGACGATTTGCGTAATGTATGTCCTATCCATTTCCATCGTCTTTTCCTAATTTCTTCTTCAGCTGGAAGTTGGTTTGTTCTCTCCCACAGAAGGCTGTTGCTGATGGTATCCGGCCAATGGATGTTGAGTATCTTGCGAAGACAGCTATTTATAAATACTTGTACTTTCTTGATTGTGGTTGTTGTAGTTCTCCAAGTTTCAGCTCCATACAGTAGAACTGCCTTGACGTTCGTATTGAAGATTCTTACTTTGATATTGGTTGAAAGTTTGTTTTGAGTTCCATATGTTCTTCAATTGTAGGAATGCGACTCTTGCTTTGCCGATCCTCGCCTTTACGTCTGCATCTGAGCCTCCTTGTTCATCGATGATGCTTCCCAGATATGTGAAGGATTCTACATCTTCCAGAGTTTCGCCGTCAAGAGTGATTGGATTGCTGTTTTCCGCTTTGAATTTGAGGACCTTAGTTTTCCCTTTGTGTATGCTGAGGCCTACTGATGCAGAGACTGCTGCTACACTGGCTGTCTTCATCTGCATCCCTTTGATTTACCTATCAAAGGGATTAAATATTGCAGTATGATGAATTGTATAGTGAATGTACCATTACAATCATCATGACTTGAATTTTGTATTTTTTTTTGTGGCTCGTTGTTGTAGAACATTAGAAGTGTATTGTTATGGTATTAAATAATGGGGATTCTAATTTCTAACAATGTATATGTTCGTTAGAATTGATAATTATATTTTGTTGAGGAACACTAGGGTCTGTGAAATCCAGTCACATTGTTAGATATTATCATAAGATGTAAATATATTATTTTCACAGTTCAAATTATGAACTGATCTTAGCTAGACCATCATTGAAAACATGGACGTATTGGACGTATGTTTCATCTTAATATAGGACTCTTAAGCAGTTCGCATACATGACTTTGCACTTAGATGATGGTCACTTAATATCTCGAATTCATCGATGTTATAACTGTGGGTCATCAGATTTCAACTCAATGGTCTAAAGACTATATTCATCCTGTGAGACTTGGAGATCTCTAATTCAACTCCTAGTCGTATGAATCCCAAAATAGAAAGAAATAGGTGTTCAGTGCTTGTTTTTTTTTTTAATGGTCGTTTCACTAGAATCTCTCAGTGATGTAAAATATTTTCAAGTATTAACTTGTATGCAAAACTTTTTTTTGATAAACAATCCAGTTTCACAAGTGTGCACAATCAGATAAACAGAATAACATAAAATCCAATCTGGATGACTTGAAATTTAGATTTACCTATGAACTTTTATTTGAAAATCTTCCATATTACTTATTATTAGTAGATAGAATAGTGCATTTATGTGATATATTAAAGCAATACATTTCGAACAATTTGATCACACATAATATTCTTGTATAGAATATATATATCAGAAATGGTTTTGTGGAGATTTTAGAAATTTCACTGATTGAAATTATGAGTCAATTGAAGCTAGACCACCATGAAAAACTTGGGAGCACTGGACGACCGTTTCGTTCTAGTATGAGACTCCTCATCACTGCTCGTCCACGATCCCTCGAGTGAGACTCGAACCCAGGAGCTTCAATCTCGAGAACGCTTAACCTACATACCACTGGACCACGAACCAATCATGGTCTAACACTGATAAACTTATTATACCACTAAAAACTCAACAATCTCCACAACCACAAACTGAAGATTATCATGTGTTCATTGATGACTAGCTGTGAGAGGAAATTCTCGGAGTTCTAATGAGAAGCTGTGACCAGTGAAGTTGGACCGTGTTGTGTGTGATCCAGTTACCCACTGAAGACAATGAAAGATGGTCACGTAATGTCATGGATTGGTTGAAGTTAGACATTAATACTGTAGGACGCCGCCTCAGTGGTCTAGTTGGTTAGCGCCTGGTGCGGGACTGATAGGTATGTAGTGTCAGTTATCATGCCAAGCCCATATACCTTATTCGAGCTTTCGGACATCCCATTCTATTCATTTTACTTAAGTCATACATTGACCTTGTTATTTATTCGCTTATCAATCTAGACTGTTTTTATATGAGCGTATATGTGTGTGCCCTTCTTATTCCATTAATCACATGTCTGTAGCTTTATTTTGTCTGACTATAAATATTGAGTAACACTTGACAAAGATGGAGTTGGCTTCCCAGCCATCTTCCATACGTGTCATTTTGTTTTGCTATGCTTCATTCGCTCCATGTACGAAATATATGTATTCTCAAGTCAATTCTCGTTATTCGACTTATTTAATTCGGTTATTGGATAACGCGATTTAAGTCGACGATGATATACGAGAATAAGCGATAACAGATCAAACGGGCACAAAAGGTACTGAGTTCAGATCTCTTGAGGAGGGATCGTGGATGCGCACTGCTGAGGAGTTCCGCACTAGGATGAAACGGCCGTCCAGTGCTCCCAGGTTTTCCATGGTGTTCTAGCTTCAATCGACTCATAATTTCAATCTGTGAAATTTCTAAAATCTCCATAAAACCCGTTCTCATAATAATCATATATATATATAAAGAAATAACTCCGCCTGGAGCTACTCTGAGACTACCGCCGGTCCCAAGCCCGGATAAAGAAGGAGGGTTGGGTTTGTGGTTAGCGACCCCATCCTGTAGAAAACCAACTCGCTAAAAAAACGCCAACCAAAAAGAAGGAAATGGTCGTCTAATCTAGAAATGGGGGGTAAGAGGAGACAAGGATAATAAAGAAAATAATATAAAGACAATTTGAAACCTCATCATTCTGGATAATAAGGATAGGTTTAGTGTGAGAACAAGCTCGTCTTGAATATATAAAGGGAGTTTGAATTTTTCGTATGGTTAAGGCCTCAATAAACCTTAGTATACGCCCTTTTACACTTTTGTACAACATCACAAATGCTGAGTTAAGATCAATCTTATGACCTGTTTCAATTATATGTTTGACAATAGAGGATTATGGATGTTTATCCTATGCTCTTATTGGGTCATTTGATTCTGTTTGCTTCTGCAACCATTTAGGTACATGTTCACATACCCTTATTTTGTGATCACAATTACTTCTCCCATGTACGTGTGACCACACACACATTTAAATTCGTAAACACAAGTATATATGTGATAAGATTGTTCGAAATGTATTGCGCTAATATATCATCACGTAGTTCTGGTAATCTTCATCTTCTTATTACATTATCGAAATTTATCAAAGATACTAATTGCTCTAGATAGTTCATTTACTTACTGCTTATACTTTTACTGCCTCTAGCACTACGGGATTTGGATCGACAATTGCATCTCTGTGCTAATGTGGTGTGGCAACTCGAACTGATGTACGTACGTACGAAGTTCTATGTTGTAACTGACTGACTGACTGACGTGATAGTCAACTGTTCAGAACTATCTAGTTTCAGGGGGTATACAGTTAAAGTTAATCCATGAAGTAAACTATCTCAAAGATCAATGTATAGTTTTAATAGACAACAATGATGATAAGATTACCTATCTATGTATTCACTTTGTAATTTTTGATAGTTTTGATGATTAATTAATGCCTAATAAAATTCTTATCTACAGTCAAATCACGAATTATTCCATTATGCAGTAGAAAGTAACCAGTTGTGTCCGAGGTTATAATAAGTAACATTATCAGTATTCTTATGAATTGCAACAATCGGTCTATTGAAATACGTATACATGTATAGTTTAGGATATGAATTAATTGGGAAATATTCCATCCAATTTTACAATGGTATTAGTTAATGGAAATCGTTTTCAAAATCCTTCACAGTTATTTCTCTCTTGAATTCTGCTCAAGCACAGTTTAATGGTTTAATTAGCTAATAATAACTAGTTAGACTTCTAACAACGTTTTATTTCGCTTCAAAGTAACTTTAAATGGTAGTTATTAAAATGTATTAAATCAAAACACTAGGTGAGCTAAGTTTGAAACCGATCTCTTCAAAGATCCTAGTTACCAGGTTACTGAAATGAATGTACCAAACGATTTCAATCCAGTGGTCTAAAAGGTATCATATTCACTAAGAAGTCTGAAAGTCTTGACAGGGGTTGTGGATAGGTATTTTCGAGAAGTCTCCTATTTGAATAGTAGAATCTTCTAGCACTCTCTGGGTTTTAATGCAATATATTTCAAATTAAAGCAGAGATATGATTTGATCCACATGATAATTAATATCATAGATGCTTCAGTAATTGTTATAAATAAATATTATTCATAATGATGGGTTATTGGGATGGCTAGGGTGAAATTGAATCGCCACTGAATCATTAGGTCTTCAATATTTACTGGGATACTATTAAGAGGTTGTATACGATCAAAATTATCCACCTGAGCTACAAGTCTTCTCCGTCATCTCAAAGATCCTTTACTCAAACTAAGCTTTTATCAATGAATTCAAACCATATAGTCGATTACTAGGCTAGAAATAATAGTGGTGAATTAGTAATTTAATTACTGCGCGCTTTAAATATTTTATTACCAACTGTTTTGATATATGACTATTCCATAATACGATTCTATACTACTGATTCTAAATTTGAACTTCTTAGGGTTTCTTTTATCGTTGTCTTGTCTATGTTTCATTGAATTATTTGCAATTCAAAGTATTACTGAATTACTCTAGAACAAACATCTCTGTAATCATGATTTTCAAGAACCATTAAAGAGTTACCTAAGAAAAAGTCACTGAAGAAAGTTGAAGACTGTTTAGAACACTTATATGTGTACTGCTCATCCCATAACTCGTAAAATGAAATACTATCTTTCGTTCCAATAGTTCTATTGGAATATATGCTTGTGTTTGGTGAAAGAAATTTCGTATATCCTTAAAAAACTCCATTATTATGTTCAGTTATAGAAATATACATTTTTCTCCTTTCTTTTCTTTTTAGTTCTCTTCAGTTATATTCTTCATCAAAACAAATGACTTATGTATCCAAAATTAACTTGTAAAGAAGCAAAATCTCTTCCATTAAAAATATTGATTGATTATACAATATTCAATTATGTTAGTAAAATTAGTTTTGTCTTCCTTTCTAAAATACACTTGATTTATCACATCTTAATAAAGGCGATAGAAGAAACGCTTTTATCCTTCTATCCTTCATCATCTCCTTCATCATGCAGTACTGGTACACCTAAAGTATAAAAACAAAAAAATTTAAAGCAATGGGCTGAATAAGTACTTTTTATCATTAGTTTAAAGCTGTTTATCAGTAGTTGAAGAGACTGTTAAATGAATACATTATCTGGTCTGAAATTAAACAGATTGATGTGTTACTATCTAAACTTTAATATTTACCGTGTTTCAATTGCTTTTTATTTCATTATAGTATTATTCTTTGTTTCTAAATTAAACTAATTGGATGAATGCTGTTAGGAACACAACAAACACACAAATAAACTGATGTGAATAAGGGTCACATTAAGGATTAGCAGCCACAAATGTCATGAGTTAAATTTGGCGAGTTCAATCACCTGTTTTCTAGTTAGACAGTATAGAAGAAAATTCATGATACTGTAATTAGTTTTCAATGTAATCCAAGAGAAATTAACTGGTAACTAGGGAACGTAAGGGTATAAGTTACTTCGCGACAATTAATCTAAAGTTTGAGATAAATATGCATCCATTCACATTGCCATACCAACTAAACAAAGCAAAAGGAAATTAACAAGATGAATAGCAAATGAATCAAAATAACAGTAGTATAGATAGTAATAGAAAGCTGAAACTTATATACTATGGTTTGAAGTGAACGATTTAATCTGTGAAATAAGACGTGAAAAACTATAACAACTCAAAATCTAGAGGCATATGAATAGCTAATTAATCTGTTCCACTGTTCTCGGGTTTAAGCTGCTTCGTCTAAGTTCTTTGATCATCGACCATGATTATTCTGCTGACCATGATTAGATAGCCCAAGACTTACGACAGATATCAACTCAACAGTCCAAAATTTTGTGAATTGACACCACGTTTTGGTAAGCACAGCCCACTTAATTACTATGAACCAAAAACCGTCGAAACTACATTTACTGATTACTGAGTGTTATGATTTCTGGTTTCTGTTTTGTCCATATTCACCATCTGATTTCTTAAGAGATCTTCACCAGATTTAGTTGTGAGGTTTATTTTATAATTTAGCCCAACTAAGCCAGTTTTAATACGCATGACTATGACTGGTATCAGGCCATTTTATGTTTAAAGCTGTGCTCACAGTTGCTTTCGAGTCTTAAGGCAATTTGTGAATAAGTTGTAAACTTTTCCTTTATGGAAATAAAGTCATTTGTTCACAAACTGGAAATTCACACAGTAGAAGAACTTTCTGTTGACAAAATGAACCGATCAATGTTAGACCGCCGTCAAAAACCTGACAGCACTGGACGGCTGTTTTGTTCTAGTACGAAACTCCTTCCGAGCGTACATCCACAATTCCGCATGAGGGGCTCGATATAAATACGATTAACAAACAGATGGATAGATAGGCAACGAAGCAAAGGAATATTAAGAAGATTCACGAATATGACATCCAAATTAATCGCATAACCGATCACACGTTAACCAGCAGAATTAAATTAATACACCTGACAGTCATATACTCAGTCACATATCGTATTCCTAAATGAGAATACAATTACGTTCATTTAACATGTCCATAATATATAGGTTAGAACAATTATCTGTAGATTACACGTTTTGTCCTACTTTTTGAGCCACATATTAATAAGAGGTAGTCTGAGTGAAACACATAAATACTTAGGAATTATTGCTACTGTTATATGAACCTCCTAAAGAAATTTTTCGACTAATTTGATAACCAATTTAAGTTTTGGAGGTAGCTTCTTCTAGACTATCGTATTACGGCTTACCTGGTGCTAGTTTTGTTCTGTTTACCACATTTCAGATGCCCATTTCTGACTATAAGATCTCTTTCTTCAGTCGCTAACCGGATCTACACAAATATACCCAGCCGGATATCCATCATTCTCACCAATATTGGTGCACAAATTAAAGTCATTCTAAGCTCTCGCTTATTCGACAGCTATCGACTAATGTATTATCCTAATCGGTTCTACTTCATCGCCTCTGAGGTTAAGTTTTTATCTTCATGACCTTAGGAACAGTTAGAGGCGAAACTAATGGACATAGAATTCTTATGGCCGTATGGCGTTATATATGTTGAGACAGGACTAAATATATATTACAAGAACTTTCAAATTTGAAACTAACCATCCAGCTTTTTAAGTTTGGGAAGCCTTTTACACGCTTCCTCTCTCCATTTGTCACCACTGTTCTCCTCTAATGGGTTGCCTAAATCGTATTAGGTTGTGACTCACTAAAACGGAAGCTTACCAACGAAGAGAAGATCCTCAAGAACTGGAAGATCAGCTAGTTTCTGAAATTCACTCCAATCTTTCACGAAGTTGTTTGACATATATAGTACTTTTAGTTTTCTAAGTACGTTAATTCCCTTCATCTTTTCAATATTGTTGTAGGAAATCCACAGTTGCTCAAGCGTGTCTCCAACTGGTTCAAGTCCCGTTAGATTTTTAATGTTATTTCTTGCTAGAGAGAGTATTTTCAAGTTTTCTAAGGCAATATTTAATTAGTCATATGTTACTTAGTCCATTTAAATTCGAAATTTTTTCTATACAGTTGGTTGAAAGTGATAGTTTTCTGAATTTGTTCTTACAAAATAAAAAAATTCATACTCGCACATAGTCAAAGTGGAGAGTGAAGCATCCATTTTTTCTGTTGGGGGATACTGTCCATAAAGTTTTACTTCTGTTGCTTCCGATGCTTTCTGTCCTGTTTTTTCCTCCTAAACGGGCCTTAAGTTTAAATTTATAACTTACCCATTTTTTAATCGCTTCTTTAATAGTTGTCGGCTTGTCCTAACAATCAAAAGACTGAATTAATGAAGCGTCGGAAACATACCATTTTCAAAATTACGCAGCTTGTTGTTATGCCAACGAATCCAAAGTTGACCTTACGAATGGATTATTATTTCAGATCTGAATCATAGTGGTTGAAATGGGGTCTTTGTTACCAAGAGGCACGCATGGTAGCAAATAAATTTGATATTTCATGTAATTGCAATAAAATAACATATTTTCTCTTCGTTGAGTGACGTTGTGTATGTAATCACATCAACATTCACAATTTGTTGTTTCATTTTCAGTCCTGGCAATGGTAGTCCCTTAGTTAATCCAACTTTCTTTTGAAAGAATCGACGGACGGAGCCTCAACCACGTGCTGAGGTAATGAGTTCCACTCGTTGATGATTCAATGGGAAAGTCGATAGTCAGCTGACAAGTAATTTGTCCTGGGCTTGTGAATTTTTTTGGAGTGTCCTCGTAAATTCTCTGTTTTGGAGGACAAGAAAAATGAGGGCATATCAGGTGCAAATTAGGCACTAAGTAATTTGAAAACTGTAATCAAGTCGCCTCTAGTTCTGCGATATGACAACGGGAATAGGTTTAGCTTGGCCAGTCGAGCATCATACGAAAGCTTCGCTATTCCGGGAATCAGCTTGGTTGCTGCTCTCTGAACCTTTTCCAAAAGCTCGTTGTCCCTTTTTAAGCAGGGGCTAGCCACCTGTATGCAGTACTGAATTTTCGGAAGTACGAACGCTGTATACAAAGTCAAAAACGTTTTAGCGTCGACAAAGACTAAAAGCCCTACGTGTTGACCATAAGGTTCTAAAACCTTTGGCGGCTATTGCATGACAGTGTGCATTAGTCCTTATGCCTTGGCTAACGATGACTACTAAGTTGCTGTATGTCTGGACAACAGGTAGCTCAGTGTTATTCATCGTGTATGTATCTGTACCTTGATGACCGATATGCATCACAATACACTCGGGTAAAAGAAAAAAGAAAATGTAAGTGCATGTGGAAATAAACTCGTACGCGCTTTAAGGCACAAAGTGGGAGAAAAAAGGAAAATAAACTCATGTACATGTAATAGCAAAACAGCGAGTTTTACAAAATGTTTTTTTGGTTTTTAAAAAAATTTTTAATATACATATTACAAAATAATAAATATAAGCATATAAAAATTGATTTCTTTAATATTATATATAATGTCATGGAAAATCGAGATGAAGCAAAATGTTAACTGGTGTCTTACGTGCGATAGTCGTTTATATGTTCTGAAAATCTTACTCTTCTTCCAGAACGCGTTGTTTTGAGTTTATTTTCAGATACTGTAGAAGTATAATCGTGCGTGTTGGCTGTCGGATGAGGTATTATAAGTGTAGGAGTCGTGTCGTTCGATTGTACGGAAGGAAAATCGACGTGGATAGGATTTCCTTCTAAATACACTAATTTGAGGCGATCGATGCTGATGCTATCGCTGATTCCGTTCTTATCGATTATGTAGTACTTCGGTCCACGTTGAAGAACTCTGAAGGGTCCTTCGTATGCTGATTCGAAAGGTCGTCGATGTGAGTCTCGACGAACGAAGACATGTGTACTATATCGTAAGTCAAGTTGAACGAAAACATCAGTTGGTTGCGATCGAGTGGAAACAGGTTTAACTGAACGCGTTGCGTTTGTAAGCCTGTTTGTTTAGGAGGTTAGATCCATGTTCACTGAAGAAGCTGAGGGATCTACGAATTCTCCTGGAAGTCGAAGTGTTGTTCCATAAACCAGTTAAGCCGCAGTGTATTCAATGTCAGCTTTCACTGCATTGCGAATACCTAGTAAGACGGGTGGAAGAGCGTCGGTCCATTGTGAAACGTTTGCAGTTGATAGTGAAGCTTTCAGTTGTCGGTGAAAGCGTTCTACCAACCCGTTTGCTTGTGGGTGGTAAACAGTTGTTCAGAAGCGAATGATTCCTAGTGGTGCAGGCAGACAACGGAAAAGTCCGGATTCGAACTGGGGTCCGCGATCTATAATGATGGTTGAAGGGCAGCCGAAGTTTGCTACCCATCGTTCGACGAAGGTGCGAGCCACTGCTCAGCAGTAATGTCCTTGATTGGTTCTGCTTCTGGCCATCGAGTGAAACGGTCTACCGAAGTTAAAGATAAGAGTATCCATTTAAATCTGCTAAAGGTCCTACCAAATCCAGATGAACATGGTCGAAACGAGCGTATGGAGTTTTGAAAGAGCCTAAGGGACATTTGTTGTGTCTGATGACCTTAGATTTTCGGCAGTTTACACAGGAGCATGTCCTCTCCCTCACGTCTTTATTCATACTAGGCCAGAAAAACCGTTCCGCTATAAGCTTGATGGTTGCACGAACACCTGGATGAGAAAGTTTGTGTAACGTATTGAAGACGTTGCGTCGATAATTTTTGGGCACGATTGTGCGATCCCTACCTGTAGATGTGTCACAAAGTAAGGTTTCTTTACCTGTTTCCACCTGTCTGGTACACAGCTTGAGATTTGTAGACGATAACTTGTGTTGAAGATCAGTGTCTACTTTTTGAAGCTGGGCGAGTTTCAGAAGGTCGATTCTTTGGAAACTGTTCAAGGAAGTTATGCGAGACAAGGCGTCTGCGACTACATTGTTGGCTCCAGAAATGTGTTGAATATCTGAAGTAAACTGTGAAATGTAGTCTAGTTGTCGAGACTCACGGGGAGAGTACTTGTCTGAAGTAGAGCTTAGAGAGAAGTTGAGTGGTTTATGGCCAGTGAAAAGAGTGAATTCACGACCTTCGATGTAGTGTTGAAAATGTCGTACAGCACAATACATAGCTAGGAGTTCCCTACCGAATGCTGTGTACCTCGATTCAGTGTCTAGCAACTGTCTAGAGAAAAATGCCAAAGGTTGCCAGGAGGTGTTAACCTGTTGTTGTAAGACTCCTCCAATTGCTGAGTCGGATGCGTCTACTGCGATAATAATGGGTGCCTCAGTCTCCCGATGAGTAAGCATTGTTGCTTGAGCGATAAGTTCGTTAATTGTGGAGAATGCTCTTTCGCATTTCCACGAAGTTGGTTGGTAAGAGGTCTCATAAGTAACACGCATTTCGGTATGAAGCCGGCCGTTAGAATGCGCTAGGAGAACGCTAACTTCTGCGCCAGTGTCGACGAGGTAGCGAACTCTCGTTGTCACATCTGTGACGTATAACAGACGGCTATATCCAACGGCTACGGTTGCCGTTAACACGTGCTGGCTTGGAAGTTTCTCGAGTTGTTTTTTTAGTCAGTCGGTTTTGAGATGGGAAAATTGCGGGATTTTCTACCATTACTGGAGGACTTTCCATACTGGTTATGATGCCAACACCAGTCGGGGTTATCAGTCTCTCGTGGTCTAGAGAAAGATCGCTTACGTGAAGTGCTTCTTCGTGGGGTGTGTGATCGCTTACGGTCGTTACGAAATTTAAGATAACGTATAAGGGTATGATATAACTCTGTTGTGTCATTCTGGGTCGTTTGAGGCTTTTCTTTGACTGAAAAAACCTCGGTATTAGAAGACTTGATGATTTCTAAGATGCGGTTGGCAGATGCAACCAACTCGTTGTTTTGAAACAAGACCAGCACAGCGTCCACGTGTTTAGGAAATTTGGGTAAGAAAAGTTGTTTGAATAGACCATGATCGAAGGTTCTTTGCAACCTGTCTGTCGCAGAACCGTGTTGCAGGTCGATGTTATTAAGGAGTTGGTATAACCTTTGTCGATCGGTTAGGTCTCCTCGTTTAAGGATAGATCGTTTCAGTGTTTCGTAGGGTTCCGAAACATCACTAGTATACATACTAGGTGTTACGTACCTGTTGAATTCCCGTGTTAGTGCCTTGAATACTGAGGGGAATTGTTCACGTGTGTCGTTCACGCCGTGCTCGTAAAAGTCGGCTTCTGTGTAGCAGAACCAGAATTTGATGTTGTGTGGCAACAAGGGCATCAGTTGGAGCCAAGGTGGGGACATAGTCTTTAGCTTAAGTACCTTGGGTGTCAGATCAGTCATGGTGCAATATCAAGTACGAGAATGAACGAGTAAAAAAATACAAATCAAAAACACGGTAAAAAATATCACAATATATAAAGAATTAATATAAGGCAATACTATACAGAGTTCTAAAGGGGACCAGACTCACAGTTTGCAATTTGGTGTACCAGATCACATTGGACTCACCAATGAAGATGCCACAGGTATTCGGAGTTTGACAACGCTTTACCCTATAACACCTAATATGAATCGTGCTCACCAAGTGAAATCAAAAGACAGAAGCGAGGAGGTTCGAGTGTATGTGTGGGGGATCTGTATGCACTGACAGGAAGGGTGCTTCTATGGTATATACATTGCTTAAGCAGTTTGAGAATACTTGAGCCTTATCAAAGTCGTCCTCCACTAATGATGAAGCAGAACTCTCTCCTCATAACGCTGGAATGTTTCCTCTTCTTATTGTCCTTTGGTTTATATAAGAATACAAGCGTTTAGGGAATTCTATGGATTCCCTAACAATTTTCTCTTGTTACAAATTTCTAGACTTATGGAAGGTGGAAGCACAAGCATTCCAAGCATTTCGGTACTCAGATATTGTCATCAGTGCTCAGTAACATAAGTCTATTACACATTTTTCTTCTCTTATGGAGAAGGATGTGAACCCTCCTACTGAACCATGGTGTAGAGATTCTCTGCCTCATTGATGTAGTTCAAGGGATGTGGGGTGTGGTAACTTTTAAGTATGAATTTCGAAATGCGTCTCAGGCCGTTTCAACTGAGGACTCTGGGTCTATTGTCCAATCTACTGACGATGCTGAATACATGATAACTTGTATGTTTGCTTTCCAGACGTTAGGTCTGGATTAGGGTAACTTATGCTCGTTTTTACAACTATATTGAAGTCGAAGGTTGAAACCGCATGATCACTTTTACCTAGGGGTGGCGTGTAATCAGGGTTCGCAACGTCATCCTCATAGTGAGTAAATATAAGATCTAGTAAGGATGATTCAGTGTCCGGGTCATACCTAGTCGCATGTTGTACTAAGGCACATGTTATAACCGTACCAACTAGCTCCTGCTTGAAGGAATTATCTGA